GGAGCATTGAGGAACACATCGACACCTTTGATAATGTAAGGAGGCAGACATATGCACACTTTAGTTTAAATGGAAAGGCAGAGACATACACGGATGCAGTGCTTTAAAGTCAACCAGTACTGTTTTGCAGGATGGGGCTGTGTTTTCATTTGCAGTTGCACTGTTAATTTGCAACTAATAAGAACAGTAGAATTTAACCTAAACCACCACAATAATATGTTAAATGTTATTGCTGGTTTGATGAGTATAACTTCATAATAGCTAGTCTAGTACACTGACCACAAAATAAAAAGAGAATATATTGAGGACAAGCTTTCGCGGTGGATAGCGTGTCTGCAAGTGTTGTTTCTCTATATCTGTCCCACTAATTTGCCATCCACTATCTAATCTGACATTGCACTCAAACAGTAGTAGCTGTGAGAGCAACCGTAGCCAAAAAAATAACAAACAAGTCCCCTGGGAGGGACCTTTGTTCTTGTGCAGAGTGCCTATAATGTTTGCACGCACTCTAATTAGGAATTAGCATCTCACTGGAAGATACGCGTTGTACCGTAACTGATGAGTCTCTTCTCTAATTATTGCTTTTAAAACTTTGAACCGCTAAAGCTACAAAATCATGCATTACCCTCAAGTTATATATTTACATTTTTTTAAGAAAAACTAACACAATCACTGTTAAATGTTCTGTCATATTGTATGTGTGTGTTTGGGATTGCAGAAGTATATCCGGGACATTACAGATTCTCTGATTGAACTGTGTGAAGACAGAGAAGAAAATAAGGATTCCTCTTTGCTCTCCAACTCTCAGATCATTCACACCGTCATAGACATCTTCGGAGCAGGTTAGCCCCACTACAAGTTTCATTTCATCGATAAATATGGTCGATAATGACTATAAACTGAGCATATTGAGGAAGAATATAACTTGTTTTCACTGCAGGTGTTTTGTTTTGTTTTTAAAGGATTTGACACCATCATTGCGGGTTTACAGTGGAGCCTGTTGTACCTGATTAAGTTTCCAGACATCCAAGACAGAGTACACCAGGAGATAGGTAATGTCATTTCCTTTTTAGAAACTGCATGCATCTTATCTAAGGAGAAAGAATTTGTGCTATGCTGAAAAGGGAGGGCTTGTCCAATCTGGGGTCTCATGAATGACTCATTGACCAGAAACAGAAGATCTCCAATAAATGATTAACAATAGAAATAAGGTTAAGATTGTGGCTGGTGGTTTATGATTGATACGGCACCACTGCTAAATATTTGCTTTACTTTCAGTAGCTCTTTAAATGTACTGTATCTTTAAGACTTTTACTGATTCCACACCCAGGAGATGTAGTGGTTATAGTAAGTAATAAGGGTCGATAGGCTAGAGAAAATAGTCATTAATCAAATGCAAACACAAATTAAACAATAACAATTGTAGCATAACCACACTACAGTATGACCATTTGAGATATGAAATGAAAACACCAAACCTAACCCTTATCTGCTTGAATTTGTACCAAATATATTCAAAGGTTATGTTTTTAAGGATATAAACAGATGAAAATCTTTGTCCTTGAGATTCTTCATCATCATCATCATCATCATCATCATCAGTAGCCATTATGACATGTTAGGAAGGATCACCATTTAATCAACATAATGAAAACCATACAATGATCATCAAGTGCCTTTCCCAGACACACACAATCTGTCAGCCACCAGAGAAACTCACAAAAGATCGGTCCAATTTGCTGACGCTAGAGCTACTTTTGGAGTGGGTTGAACTGGTGCTGTCTGTTCTGAGGCACGTTGCATCACAGAGAGAGGGAGGGAGGGAGAGGGGAGAGAGAGGGAGACACTAAAATGAGACAGGATGAATCAAAGAGCGAGGCACAGCCAGAGAAAGAAAGAAGGGTTAGAGAGTTGTCCCAGGCTGGCACAAAGGCGGTGACACGCAAGGCACACTATGTGATCGCACAAAGTCCAAAATACTTCACTTACTTCATTTGATTGTAAATTAACAAAAGTTAATTGACTGTGAAGCTTTTATCCGTCTGTTTACAGTAAAGCTCACCTCTTTACTGGAAACCTTATTAGTGAACGAGTGAACAAGAGTTTTAATGAATGATGAAAGGCGAGCATATTAGGTCGTTGTAATTATTTGTGATGTGCGTGTTAAAAACTCAAAACACTCACGACAACTCACATGCTCTAACCGTGAATTAACTGAAGGAAAAAACAGGGAACCTTTGACTTGTGTTACGCCCCACCAAAATGGCCCTATGGAGCTAACAAAATTCCACCACTGACCCAAATATAACGCGAAAGACAACTTTTAAAATCATCGAATCCATAGGATTTATTATAGACTACACATCAAATGTTTCTCCTAGGATGAGAGGCAGGGACACAGCAGTCCCCACACCAGAGGCCTCCCCCTTCTGCTGCTGCACTGGAGCTTTTAAGCACTTCCTTCTCCAGGTGCACCTCGTCTGAACCTCGTTAGAGCAATGCAGCACACCTGGGTAGAGGAACCAAAGGGAAAAAGAAACAGGGAATACATACAGCCGTAACAACTTGTTTACGGTCTCAAAAGAGAACCAATGATAATGCAATTATGTCAGAAACTAACGATAGAGCTCAAGAGTTGAACTTAGCCGTGATATGTTAATTAGCTATCATTGAACAGTTTTAATAGACTGCCACCTTTTTGTCAGCTATTTCAGGCAACTTGCACCTTTAGTCTTAGTATCTGTAAAGACCTCTCCTAGGCTGTACTCTCATCAGAAAAACTGAGATCCAGATTAAGTGTCAGGGGCTTAAAGACTGCATAAATCTTAATGACCGGAATGGGAATGGCTTCACCTTTCTACATTGACCGCTACCTTTCAAATATAGGCATCTCAGTTTCCCGTAACTTTCTAATGGGTTTTGTGTTTTCCTCTTTCTTAGACAACTACATCGGCACAGCCAGACTGCCCAGGTTTTCAGATAAGCCCAAGATGCCTTTCACAGAGGCGTTCATATATGAAGTGTATCGCTATGCTTCATACGTCCCTTTCACAATCCCTCACTGGTAAGACAGCAGTTAAGTTTATAGTATACTAATGTGTACATTTGTATGTTTTTTCTGTTTAAATTCAGTTTCTCTACCTTCCAGTACCACGAGAAACGTCAGTCTGAATGGTTACTTCATCCCCAAGGATACATGTGTCTTCATTAACCAGTACCAAGTCAATCATGATGTGTGAGTACTTAATAACAAGCAATAATGACTACCGTACATGATGATGTTAAATTAGATTTCATGGGACATGGACTGTATCAATTGAGTAAAATGTTCCTTTATTGCTCATATCTTCCTGTTGTCCGCTCTTTCTCAGAGATCTTTGGGCTGACCCGGACACATTTCGCCCTGATCGCTTCCTGGGTCCCTCAGGACTCCTCAACAAGGAGCTGACGGAGAAGGTTCTCATCTTTGGGATGGGGAAGAGACGCTGCCTCGGTGATGGTTTTGCGCGTCTGGAGATGTTTATCTTTATCACCACGCTGCTCCACGGGCTGCGGCTTGAAAATGTTCCCGGACAGGAGCTGGATCTCAGCACTGATTTTGGACTGACTATGAAGCCGCGTCCGTACAGGATTACCATCTCCTCGAGGTTTTAGACCAAATGATCCTCTGTGTGGATGTTCCTGAATGTCACAAAATCTGGTTATTATCACATCAAGCCACTATATTTGGTAATAACTCCACAGAGATACACTCTCTTATATTATTGTTCACATACTGCATTTTCTGTCTTTATAAATGTGATACAAATATCAACCACAAAAGGGAAAAATGTATGTGCAAATATGTTTCTTAGACATTGAAAATTACATAGAAATAGCATTAGATTTGACTAACTCAATATTTGTATTTAACACACTATTTATGACAATGGAAGTTCATTCAAAGTGCCTCTGTGCCCATACTTAGAGTCCCTCTGACTTTCTGTCCCACCTCATTAAAACAAGCTCCAAAACAGCCGCTCATTAAATGCCTTTATCTTAAGTTATTAGTTACAGTTAAACACTGAGGGAGGAAGAGATATAGCCTCGGGCGTCAAACTGTGTTCACGCAGAGTTCATCTTCACTCTCATCGGCCCTCTCCTCCTCCTCAACGCTTTAACTTCTCTCCTTCAACTCTCTTATCTCCTCATCTTATCCTCAAGGTTTACTGTTGAGTGAACTCATCTGCTCAAATTCTCACTGAGTGGCTCTGTGAAGAACGAACATATATATTAAGACATGAAAGTTTCCCATCCTTTATAACATGCTCCCCCTCGCCCATCAGTGCTGTGACCTCCCACACAGACAAGGGAGGTAAAGAAGACAGCGCTGAGTGAAATCAGGCATTTCTCCTTTAAGAAGGTCAATGTCAAGAAGCGTGGCCAAATGGTTAAAGAGAAAATAGGAGTCGGGCAGAACTACTTGTCCTTAAATAGTTTGAAAGTTAGGATGATGACAGTTTAATCTCTTTTTAACTTTAACTAATCTACGGAGACCTCATTGTCCCTTCCAGCAGAGTCCCTCCTGTTTACCGCAGTTTCAGGACACAGCAGTGTTGGCTAGAGAGTTGTTGAACAATAGGTCACTTCAGTTCAGAGCATTCAAACTGACAACCTTCTGGCCGTAGCATTTTATTAACCTTTAAGAAGTTCATAAAAAGATATTAAAGAGTGTACAACTTTCATGACCACAATCTTATCAAATCCTGTCTTACTTATTCTTACTTCACCTAGATGTTTGGCTTCCCAGTTAAAAAAGATGTGTGTGCAGAGTTTGATGCTACGAGGCTGATTATACTACAACATTTGTCCGTTATCACACTACAATATATGTTTGTAACCAGAACTACTTGACATGTTGTGTACAGTAGTTAAACAATTTAAACATATATATTCATAGATTTGTTTAAAGGGAAAAGGAGAATATTTAATTTAAAATAAGTCAAGGAAATACATTTAGACTTAGACCTAGTTTAATGTCATTTCAACAAGTCACAGTGTGTACTATTAAAAAGAAATTTCAATGAATTATCAAAACACACCCAGAGGATGAGACCTCAGCCCCCTCATCAACCCTGTTCCCTCTCAATGTAGTCTCTGCCTCTTTGTCTCTCACTTTGTTCTTGTCCACAGAGCTCACAGTACGATTCAAACTATGGCCTTCATTAAAGAATAACAAATCACAGGGAACATGTGCTGAGTGGCCGCTGATCTAAAGCAGCCAACAACACACAGCCATGTTCCTTTTTATGTATTGGCCCATTAGCTTACAAATTACAAAAAAATGCTATTTTTCCAACTTCACTTTGGGACATTTTAATACTTTTGTCTGTACTTTCTGTCATATGTCAAATTTTTTGTGAACCCGCTGCCTGGCTTAAAAAAAAAGCAACAACAACATTCGCGAGTGTGCATTCCCAGCCATGGGATCTGACCCCCTAACGTTATAGGAACAGGTCATAGGCCCTGGAAACTTAACCTCTCTAATGGGCTACAAACTATTTGCCTTTCCCTTCATACAATAGGAGTGCAAACTGGATAACCAGCTGACTTCCAATTTGCCTCTTCAGTTACACGTGGGGCCCTGTGTTGTGGGGGCCTCATTCTATAGAGCCAGGCAGGCAGCACACATTAACAAACTGCACGCAATCCCCTGAATGCATCTAGGGTGATGTCAGCCATCCCTGCATGTGAAACATTAAGGGAATTAAGACAAAAAAACATGGTAAATAAATAAGAGTTCATTAGCAAGCATATCTTAAACAAAAAAGACAGGCCACTCAAGAAATGACACATACTCTTTAACTCTGCTATTGTACACAAAAGTCTATTTCAAATGTGTCCTCTATGGGAAACACTGATGCCTTAACTTTGAACCTTATACGGTGACATGCACACCACACCCTTGGCCTATTAGTGGTGTAACACAAATGGGTGTGAAGCTAGACTAGACACATGTTTCATATTTAAAAAATAGCAGGAATTGCAGCAAACATATTTTATCGCAGTAGGTTGTGATATGTTGTTAATGCAATTGCTTCTTGTTATTTAAAATAATCAACCATACTTCAGGAAACAAAGTAAGCCAGAGTTATTTGGCAGACAATGAGATGTCAGGAGATAATGAGCCAGGCAGTAAACTTCATTTAAAAATCTGTTATATAATTTTTCTAATTCCAATCAAATGGAAAATAAAATACATTATTTGCTAAAACCAATGTACATTTTCTGGAAATATTGAGAAAATGTTTCTTACAAGTGACATGTTAAAGTAAAAAAACAGAACATTAATGAGAATATTTTTTGTAATAGGTTTCTCACATTCCAATTACTCAAATATTTAAATGAATAGTTTTTCTTTGCTGTTTGAAAGGTTCAAACATCCTCGTCTTCCACTGTCTGTCCTGACCTCAGCCTAATGATGACCTAACAGAAACAAAAATGGAAAAGAAAACAAAGAAATATAGTTAGCGTAACTGTGTCAATGTGCCTATCAAATGTTTTTTGTTTAATTCTACGTATAGATGAATGTCTCTGAACAGATACCTCTTTCAGCTGGGCGATCTCTTTGCTCTCCACATGTCTTTGTGCATTGTTGGTTATGGCCTTCACTCTGGTTGCATAACTGGACAGTTCAGGAAGTTCATGTGTTATTTAGCAGTTTGATAGCATTTAGATATTTCAAATAGATGGATTTAGTTGTCTCTTACACCAGAGATGTGAGCGTCTCTTCAAGGTTGCATTCAGAAGGAGAGATGTTGACGATCATGAGGGTTTTGGCATTTCCACCCAGGGAGTCCTGCATCACCTGACAAGGGAAGGGAATACATTGTATGATACTGTTAAGGTATTTTAAGGTTAAACCCCCTGATGTAGTGTGTCCCTCAATCCCATGCTTTCAACTCCCAGATGGCACTAATAAGGTGTTCTGTTCCTCACAGGGTTAGGGTTTAGCCATAGACTGTGGGTTTAACCCAGGAAATAAAGGGAAAGGGAATTGTTTTGGGAGAGGATTCGGTTGGTTATATTTAGTGAGGAGAACGGAAGATTAAGCTTGGCAGGGACTTAGTAATAAACTAACTAACTAATTAACTATTTATACAGTGGTACCTCATTCAACTGGAGTAAACATGCAAACTAAGATGATGTAAGGACCATAAATATTAAGCTGCAGATAGTTTTCCCTTCTTAACTGCCGACAAGTATGATTTCTCTTTGGATGTCTGTCCAACGGATTGCTTTTTAGGTAGGTTTTTTTGTTAAAGATTTAATCATCGATCTGTTATAATATTATGTTTTAGACTAAGTGTCCTCTCAGTGTTTCCCTTTCCATTGGTGGGTCACTTTAGATGGAACAGACTTATTTAACCTACTTGCTGCAGGTCTCCCTTGAAAAATAGATCAATGATCTCAATGGGACCTACCTGGTTAAATAAACGTTTGAAATGAAATGAAAATGTACATTCTCTGTCTTAAACATCTTTGAGCACCACAGTAGCATTTGAAGTTTTTGTTCCAAACAATGACTTAAAAGAGATGAAAAGCACAGATCACACTTGGTTGACCTGCATGTCCACATTATGGTTCATGACTTCAAATACAAAAATCACACCCAGCTAATAGGTCATTGCAACAACCACAAAACTTCAAAGAATACTGCTTGTTTTTGCCATCATTACCTGTGTCAGCTTGCTATTCCTGTATGGTACATGAGGCAGTTCTGCAGACAGGGCTGAGATCACATCACCCAGGGCACTCAGTGATTTGTTAATGGAGTTAGCCTCCTGCAGATAAATGGAGGGGAGAATTTAGAAAGGCCATGATATATCAACTTTCAATCATCCTTACTATCACAAATCCCAAAACAACATCTGAGCTAACCTTTAGCTGGTGGTCTTTGGCCCCGGTCTTGGCTGCTCTCTCACTTCCTGCCAGGTCCACGAGGCTCAGCTTCCCGGTGCTCACGCTGCCATTAGTCCGATTCCTGCTCTCCACCATGATGCACACAATGAGATGGGAGCGGGAACTCTCCACATTCATCTCTTGGGAAACATATACACTACATAAAATGCCCTGATTGGACTTTAAATAGCTGTGGATGTTGATACACTTTGGCGGACAATAACAATTATTGTACTTTAATCAATGTGGATTCTTCAGATCCTCATGAGGGTAAATTGATTCTGTGTTTTGTTTATGAAACATCAGAAAATAGTGCAGAAGTACTGATTCCCAATCATATACAACAATTTGTATTTGTAAATAACTGTATGTAAATACAATTTTAAATATATACTAATGTATACATACTGTTTTTCTTCTTGAAAACTCACCTAAATTACGAAAACAATTTTCCAAATAGAAAAAAACTACTTGCCATGACTTACTCATTTCCTCTCAAGTCAAGCATTTTTATGATTAAATATTGACAGAAATATTTCACGTACAAATAAAAACATCAAACTAACCCTTCTATTCTGTATTTTTTGTACCAGCCTTCCCTTCATACTTAAAAGAAACTAAGCTTTATTGTAACTGGTGTTAATAATTGTACAGTGCGTAGTCGTCCCTACAACATTCGATGTCTCCTGGAATGACTCTGATGACCTGTGTGCATCCTAAAACAATGCTCCTCCTCTTCCTACAGTATGCTGAGTCAAAGTTCGCTCACTCACCGCCCGGTCCAGTAATGATGTACCTAGCTGCCGCCCCGTCACACTGACTGTAACTAACAGGATTAATCCAAACCATTTAGCAGGGCCCTGTTGAACCGGGCAGCCCGGCACGCCACAGAGGAACTCACTGGTGGCAGAGATGTGTCTGTTGGCGCAGGCCTGCAGGAACAGAGTGTAGAGCTCCTGGGCACTGGAGGCCTCTTTTGTCTCTGCTCCTTGGGCGAACACAACCCCCTTTCGGTTCCTCTTGATCTCCACCCGCCTGACCTGGCCATGGGACGGAGGCTGAGCATTGGCCTCACCAGCCGGGCTCACAAAGAGGTCCTGCAGCCGGTCGTTGTACAATTCCAGCATGTAGGCCGAAACCTGAGATAAGAGGAGGAAGAAGAAGAGGAAGGAAGAGGAGGAGGAGGAGGACGGGTCAGAGAGGAAGAAAGACAAGGGAGACAAAGAGAGGATAGGTTACTTTGTCATGGAAATGGTTACCATATAAAAATACATGATACATAAGAAAATATCAATGAACATTTATTATTTTGTTTGCCCTCATCACATTGTAAATTATGATTTGATGCCAATGTAAATGATTAATATCTAGATCTGGATATACAGTAGATATAGTTTCACGATCTTAGTTTTATTTCACGGTTTTAGTTTGGTCTGTCTTGTCATGGTTTTATTTTGCTATTCTTTTCTCCCTGTGTCTTGTCTTCCTCCCTGTCGTTAGTTTCCCTGGTGTGTCTGATTGTGTTCACCTGTTGCCCTTGTGTTTCTCCTTACCTGCCCGGCTGTTTCTCGTCTCGTGATTACCCCTCCCTGTATTTAGTCTTGTCTCTTCTTGTGTTCGGTGTTGGTTCATTATTTGTCGTTCATGTCTCCCTTCATGTTGGTCACCTTTTGTTTGGATGCTAATTCGTACGTGTGCCTTGGCAGTCTCAGTACCTCGTACCTGTTCATGGATTTTTATTTTTTCAGCTTTTGAAAATAAAGCTCGCCTTTTGTTTCCTTTTGAAACCTGCTTCCTCCTCAATCTGCATTTGGGTCCTATTCTTCCCCAACCGTGACATATAGATCATCAATTGTACTTATCTTACCTTGATAATAGAAGTAGTCGTTATATATCAGGTCCAATATTGTTATGACTTAATTGATTTAAGAACTTTCCGATCTCATAGAAAAGATGTCCGTTACCTTAAAGTCGAATTTGGTGCTGTTCTCTCGTATGATATCAAAGATGGCGTTAAAAGATCTCGGCATGATCCCAGGGTTCTTCTGGTCCTTGTCCCCCACCATAGTGAAGGTCTTTCCTGAGCCCGTCTGGCCATACGCAAAGATACAGACGTTGTATCCATCGATGGCCGACTGGATCAACCTGAGGGGGGAATATTAAACTGCTGAACTAACTGAATTACTTGCATGCGTCAATTGGAGAGATGTAATCCAAAAAGGAGAACATTCTTGATGAATGACAGAATTGAAATAAACTAGAAATGCATCTGAGCAATGGTTAATTTATGCAGAGCCCATTGTATGTGTTTTATGGTACATTTGTACACATATTGGTCCCTGCTTAGTAAGCATAACCCCCCCACCTGTTGGTGTCCTGAAACAGGTCTTCCTGAGAGGCTTCAGCAGTGAACACCTTATTGAACTGAAACTCCCTCGGCCCTCGAGGAGTGTCCACACTGACAGAGAAATCATCTATTTTCTCCACAGCGATGGCTCCACCTTGAGCATCTTCAGTTCGGCTCAGCGGTCGAATCCGACAACACACTCTGATTTTACCTGAGAAAAAAAAAAAATAAGACATGAGAGAGGGCTAAATTGAGAAGGTCTCACATTTTGGTTTTAAATTCATACATCAAATATTTGACGCTGACTAATATGTACCTTTCATGTCTTCCACCATATTGTAGTACTTCTTCCTCATTGTCCTTTCTGAAGTGTAGTTGTCAATTATTTTCTTTTTCTCGTCTTTAACTTGCTTCAGCTTGAGAAAAGAGTAGAAAACATCAAACGGCTCTATCAAACATGTATGTGAAGCATATATTTATAGCTACATCTACTAGGAGGCACAATAATCCTTATAATACCAAACATTTGATCCATGTGAGAAGTTAAAAACCCATAAAAAGTAATAGGCTACAATGTAATCAAGTTGCTGTTTATAAATCTAGTGAGAAGCTAGGGGCGCCTAAACCCTTATATCTCAATACAGGCATAATATGTACAGTATCATCATCATCAACAGCTTTATTTAAAGAGACTCTTGGTCAATTTTTTAAAAAGACATACAACACTCAAATATAAATTAAAAAAGGCAGTTATACCAATGTTTCCACAGAGGTGACTGGTATCGTATAGCACTGAGACACGGATTTGAAAGCAGCATAATGACAGAGTTATGAGAAACATTCAATCGACAGATGAATTTGTACATCAGATTTCTCAAGAGAGCATGGAACGTGTTGACTCGTGCATTACAAAACATTTCACTTGCATAGCTGCACCACCTTGGTTTTCTAAGCAGTATATGCAGACAGTCATTAAGCAACCTGGAGCTTCTTGAGGCTCGCCTTCTTAAACTTGACCCACAAGGGGGCAGTATAGAGACGAGTACAATAAGCTCTAAAAGGTTCACCTTAACCTTATCTGAACAACACCAAGTGAATTTTCTAGCCAACATGTTAGCTTGTGTATATAAGGCACGCCGCTGTCTATACATGTCATCATCATCATTTCATCTGTAATGATGTGTCCCAGATACTTAGTTTTACAGCGAACAGACAGCACCTGTCCTGACAGATAGAATGTTGGAAAACCAAGGTTATTTTCCCCTTTTGCTCTGCAGATCATTACACAACAC